AAATAACTCTGAGTAAAGACGACTGTGTTATTGTTTCAGACTATGCATTCCCCTACATCATCCTGGTCCTGTCTCTTGTCACGTTGGCTGTTTACATGTCTGCCTCTGAGATACAGGTAACTACAGTCACTGCGGTGTGGGCATTTCTTATTTCCCAGTTTAACTTTACAATTGTGATCAAGAAGTTCTTCGATTTGATATGAGGTTGGATACTAATTCTACTTCTTTACAGTGTTTATTCATCGACTTGTATAAAGTTACAACAGCAAAATGACTCCTCCAAACTAATTGTGTGGGCACTAACCATTTAGGAATTACACTAGTTTGGTTCGACTCTAGACTGTAGATGGTTGTTGTTGTTGTTGTTGTTGTGTTTTTTTTAAACCCCTTACCTGTAAAAGGCTGATGGGGTATTGTTGCCCCCTCAGCGGGCAGGCAGTGTAGACAGACCCCACACGAACATGATAACTTGCTGAACACACAACACACACACCACCCCTCACACACACGCACAACGAACGAACAACGACAACACACACCACACACATACATCATCTACGGATGCATGTACTGTTACAGGATCTCCTACCTGGTTTTGCGGTGTCATATAGGCGCAGTTTTGTGCTAAGGCTAAGGCGTGCTGCAGGCTATAGGAGGAGGATGTTCGTATGATGTGCTGCTTATTGGTCCTGTCTCTTGTCACTGTTACCATACATGTCTGCCTCTGAGATACAGTCTTTTAAGAATCTGGTTGCCAAGAAGAAACGTCTCATCGTCCTGTTCAGCCACTGGCTGCTGCATGCTTACGGCATCATCTCGATCTCCCGACTGGACAAGCTGGAACAGGACCTGCCGCTGCTGGCCCTCGTGCCAGGACCCGCTCTGTTTTACATCGTCACAGCCAAATTCACTGAGCCCAGCCGCATCCTCTTGGAGGCTGGCAATGGACACTGAGCTGGATTTATCAGGAGTTCAATAAATAACTCTTGAAAAAAAGTCACAGCAGCTTGCCCCTGTCCAGTGTGATGTCTTGAAATTGTCTGTTTATTTTTAGTTCAAAATCTCAGTCAGTGAGGAGTCGGACTCAAAATGCCAAACGTAGTTTGTTAATTTCTGTAACTCATGAAATATAAGCTCAATAATTCATTCACGCTCAGCTTCAGTTCTCATGTGAAGTGTCTACAGGTCTGACATGACAATGATGTGGTCCCAGAAGTCTGGCGTGTACAGTAAAGTGTATGCACTACTGCTTTGTCAAGTGTGGTGGAAGATGTGATCTTTCCGCTGGAGCTGAGCAGCTGTTTCTAAAGCGTTAACGGGTCGCTGCTTTTAATGTTTATTTTAAATTTTGATTGGTGTCAGAATTTCTCCAGAGGAAAATCGCTCCGACAGATATACTTGAAAAGGTTTGCATGTTGACTCCTGTTGAATATTTCAGCCTTCACAGGTTTGTGGAGGTGAAAGTGCACTGTATATACTGTACATTGCTTGTAAATGTTAGTGTATTCAGTATGTTTATCTGCATATACATAATTTAAAACTAAAACTTTGAATGTTATCTTTGTGTTGCTGACTGTATTGATCTTTGTTACCATGAGATTCAACTTTTATTGGTCTCAAACATTTACCTGATATCAAAGTGTACACCTGTGTTACTGCAGGTCGATCTGTGTGACGATGCACTTAAATCTGCAGATCATTTTGCTCACAGTCATCTGTATAGGCTGCAACATATGTTGATGTTTCTTTGTAAATGAATAAAGGTGTCAGAAAATGGTTTTGCGCAGATCTTTGGTATCATTTTGACTGACACGTCCTGTAACCCGGCAGTGCAGGTGGGAAGCTTGTTCTTCTCTCAGGTTGTCAGATGACAAACAGGAAGGTTGCTGCATCTGGAAATGTGGAAAAATCCTCAAAAAGACTGTTTCCTGTTGTGACTTCTTCATTTGTATACTGAGCTTTTGCACATACCCACACCAGCTGTTTAGAAGAATGCAGCTACAGCAGACCTGAGTGCGTTTATGTTTTCTCATCTTACAGTTAATGCAAGTAAGGGTTCATGCACAGTAACCACATTTTGGATGGTAGGTAAATACGCTAACAGATCTGACTAATACGTGAAGATTTTACGCTCCTGTAAATCGTATCACATCAACCATAACTTTGTGGGCATGTGTGTGAAGAGAAAGTACAGCAAAGCAACAAAAGCTGAGACAAAAAGAACATTTCGTATCATCAAAAAGGTAAAACTGGTATTGGAAATGAAATGCACACAAATTTGGAAATATTACACTCAAATCACTGACACACATACCCACACAGCAAAGTCAAAAAGGTACAAGGGCTACGTCCCCCGAGGACTGTGAAAGCCGGTGTTGTGCCAAAAAGGACTTTGTGCTGCTTCTGTGTTTATATCTATTGTCTTTACTTGTCTTCAGAATACCACGGGGTGACTCCTCTGATGTGATGGGATAAGATAAACCTTTATTAGTCCCACACCTGGGAAATTTGTTTGGTCATGGCAGGAAGTGGACAGTTAAAGTTAAAAGCAGCAAAAATTAAGAAAAGAACAATAGAATAGAAGATAAAGTAGAATAACATACTATACAAAATAGAATAAAATACTGTGTTGCAACAGAAGAAGTGCACATCAGGGAGACTAGGTGAAGGCTGATCCATGGTGTATTAGATGTTTGACAGCCAAACCAATAACACAGTGTTCACATTTCCCCCCCCCAAAAAAATCCGCGAAACAGCGAGGCCGCGAAAAGTGAACCTAGCGAGGGAACCACTGTATTCAGAGTGTTGCAGTTATGAAAAATAAGCAGTACATTTGACAGAAATACCACCTACATTTACATTTACTTCAATTTGCCATAGGTGTATAAATATTTGAGATTTATATTATAGTTTATTTGTATGTCACGCTGACAGCTTAGCACGAGCTGATTACCATCCACTGTGAATACATGTGATATAAAGTGTAATCTGTAGTTGTGGGCTCACACACAGAAAAGTGAAGAACAACGTTTCACTTGTAGAATGGATCCGACTGTCTACCCTGATGACTACTACGGACTGTTGCATACAGATTTAAAATATATAAAACATTGCTGTACTAATAATCTGAATGACAGATGCATAGAAAAGAAATGATCTGTTGGGGCTTATAAGGTAAACGTTTGCAACAACTGCCTGAGCTCAGCTCATTCAAGCGGCAATGATGTACCGCTTTGGAGGAGAGCAGACGTGAGTATTACAGCCAGTTATTACACAAATGAAAAACAATGTGATAATAAGGTATAAACTGTGCCAGTGCAGAAACACCTACTGTTGCAAAACATGACACTGAAGTTCTGCAAGCACCTGCAAAGACAACATGCGGACGTGACATCCAAACCAGATGCAGCTCGATGCTCAAAGTGTGTGGTCTCACAATGTCCTGGCACTTTGATCTCTTCCTAGTCTTACAGACCTACAAACTTACTGTAAGCTTGTGCTGTTTAATGGCAGACAACTTTCCATATTAAGTTGCCAAGTAACAAAAATATGATGGAACTAATGTAACAAATTACTTTCTACATGGTGTGATTACTTATGTTTTTTTAAGTAAAGAGTAATTTGTTACTTTCTGGGAATAACTTTTTTGTTTTAAACACAGTACAACCAGAGAATTTTTTTTAAAAACATTTTATTAATACACTGGAAGATGACATGTTTGCCATATGAAAAATACTTTCTTTTGATAATAGCTGATTGCAGCATCTTAGAGGGACAAATGTAGCTTGGCCATTGGAAATCAGTAGCTTACCATCTGTGATTATGCATTCCCCATGATTAGAGTGTAGTTAATGTAGACACCTGCACGTCTGAACACAAATATACTTAAATAACCTGAGACAAGAGCAAAGGCGAGTCCAGGGTTTACTCACATCAGCATTTGCTGTTTTAAGCATTCAGCTCTTTGGAAACCCGAGCGGTCACAGATTAGTTTGCACAGCACACAGTGTGTGATGTTAGGATTTCAGCTGAACACGCTGTCACACACTTGTGTTTAACAAAACAATATCTTCATTATCGCATTTAGTTTAGGAACATACAACATCCTGGCCTGATGTTCACAGCGACTCTACCACACTAGCAAACACAAAGTGGAAGACTGAGGTGAAATACTCGACTGCCCACAGAGAGACCATGCAGTGGCTCTGATCAGCTGCATGGGGCAGGAATTAGTCCTCAAAGTTCGCCAGTGTATCATTCTAGCTTAATTTTTCCACTTTCAAGTCAAAGAAAAAAACTCCAGAACCACTAAATCATCACGTGCTCAGATAACCTCGCTCTTAAGTAAACGGGTTACATTGTGGTGAACTGTGTGTTCTCTTCTCGTCATCCTGGAGGCGGACATAAACTTTTCAGTGTCTCTTCTTTTCTCTCCTTTTCCCAGCAGCATGCATGTCATACTATGTGGGTGGATGACAACACTCCATTAATGATATTCACTTGAAATCTATTCAAATAATTTTAACCATCTAATAAAATCCTGCAGAATCATTGCAAAGGAGACTAAAGGTGTTTCTGGCAATGACACGATATTAAGAGATTACGGGCTGTGTTCACTATTAGCATGACCGATAAATTCTTCAGATGAGCTGCTGGGAGTTCAAAGTTCGATGGCAATTTAGATAATTTGATATCAAGGCAAATTTTGTTAGAGCGGACAGTGCACTGTGTGGTCATGCAGGCTGACAGAGATTCTCTGCATAAATCTGACAGGCCAGGTGTAGTGCAGGACTCAACCAGAGGAGGGCGCTGTTATTACAATTCCACCATATAAACCTGAAATCTGAGCGTAACCGCTAAGTTGTTCATGTTACCGTTACTCTTAAACATGCACAACATGGTTTGTTTTCAGCAGGCTGTGTGAGGGTGCAGGTATGCGTCAAAGTCAAAATTCCACATCGTCACATCGTGCAGCTCCGAGTCTCATTATTGTCACATTGGAAATTACATTTCAATTTGCTTCATAACAACTGTAAAATCAGAAAGAAAGAAAACAGTCGCCATATTTGTGCAGGCTGAGAAAACACACAACAGATTGTGTCGTTGTGGAATGATCTTTGACACACTGGAAGCCCATCAGGTCACTGTAACTTCCATGCATTGGGATTCTCCTCCTCTGTCCTGATGCAGAAACATGTGGATGCAGAATGAGGACTGAGTGAAGCACGATGAGCCAGAGCTCAGCTACTGTGCTCACAGCATGAAGGCCTCTACATCACTCATGCACTCGATAAATCAGCCCTTCTCTGTCCAAATAAAGACACACAATCACAACCACATCTGGCCCAAAATGAGACACTGTTAGCATTACACTCAACACAATTCACAGTGAACTGTGCACTGCAAACATTAGTGAATCATCTTTGTGGGATTCATTTAATATTTCTCCCCAAAATGTACATGAACATAAACGTGCATGCAATCAAACCAGCCACAAAAATACCCCAAACTGACGCCGCGTCCTCTGTGGTAAATACTGCAAGATGACCAAATCCATTAATCTGGCTCTGTGCTGGTTTTTCTTTAATCAGTCTCCATTGTTTGCATCAACTGTGGAAAGCAAGTGAAGGCTCCAGATGGACAATCACAATTATAAAGCATCGTAAATCACCAAGAGTGTATAAGTACAGGCCTCTCCAGAGTTTCACCAAGCACCACTCAAATCATCAACATTATTTCTGGATGTAGATGATGATAATACACAGAGTTCCCACCAGTCCTAAGGCCTGGATGCCCAGGAACCAGAGCAGCAGCCAGAAGAAGACGATCACGACCGGCTCCACTGTTTTGTCCCCAAAGTACATCTGGCTGAAGCCCATTCCCCGCAGACACTTGTTGAGCGAACCAAACAGAGTCCCCATTCGCTCACAGTCGTCCAACAGAGGCTCTCTGGTACTGGGATCATTCGTGCGGGACCAGGTTGCACTGGGATCAGTTCGAGGGCGGTTCTGGCTGACATCAGTCTGTGGAGGCAAAGATATATTTACGAATTCCTAAATTCAGATGGCAGGTAAATTAATGCAACACTTGTATAAAATGTAAGACAGCTTATAGTGCATCCTGTAATATATTGGGCAAGAAAATGTCTGATTGTGAAGATTTTTGTCAACCCCTTACTCGACTAAGTGAAAAAAATGAAAAGAAACATTGTGAGAAACGAGTATGCTTGACCTCAGAGTAGGGCTGGGCCATATTATACCGTTCACGGTAATACCGGTATAATGTTAGGCAACGATAGGAAAATGAAATATCGCGATAGAATGGAGTAAAACGCGCATGCGCAGTGCCTTTGTTTTCATACGCACATGGCCGATTGTTGAGTGAAACAGATGAACCAGAATTGGTTTGTAAAAATGGTGCAACTTCAGTGATGTGGAACTGGTTTGGTGTTTGTCCGTCAGATACACACAAAGCACATTTTTTTTGCAGAACATGCAAGCGGCCGTCGTTATTGTCGTATTTGTCGGACTAAGATGCTCTTAAATCTGGGAGTAATCTGGGTCCTAAACTCCGTATGCTTCAGGTCAAACAACACTGCAGCATCACTGAGAGTTAAAAACTGTCTAAATTCTTTCATCTTTAATAAAACGATCAGCATTGCTGCTTTACCAGGTGTAACTATAAGTTTAACTTCCAGGCATCCATGAAAACAAAATTTATTACATTTAACGGAGTTAGAAGTTAGCAGGAAGCTAGCGGAAGTTAGCTCGCTAGTTTCGCTAGTTACCTAAGCATGATATAGCATGTTCTGACTGAGAGATTTCTGAAAAAATTCAAACGTACAGCTCTGCTATCACTTCCAACATAAATGAAGACAGGAAAACTAAACAGCAGTGATGTTTGTAGGGTTACTGAAGTTGGGCTAGCTGGTATATAATGATGTGCTACGTGATCGCTAGCGACACAGCTATGTTAGCATAACATAAACAGTGAAGCTGGAGGACTGAACACTAACACTTTTCCACTTATAAAAGTTAACGTGAAGGTTCTTCTGATGGTTAGAGACAAATGCAATCGCATGGCAGGATGCTGTAAACGGACCAAACTTCAGTCAGGAGAACAACTGAGATAATCCATCCACAATACGAGGTTAGTCATTAATATACTGCAACAACATGGGAATAGAGCAGCTGCCAGAGAATTCAACATTAATGAATCAATGGTACAGAAGTGGAGGAAGCAAGAAGAATGAGTTTAATAAAGTTTGATTTATCTGACTGCTTTGTTTCGCTTAATGTGCCTTATAATCCCGTGCACCTTATGGTCCGAAAAATACGTACTGCACACTGCAGTTTAATGTTGCAAAGCACCTCTTTTTAACTTCAGTGGATATTATACATGGTTATGCTCAGGATATGTCAGCCCATTTCTACTGGAAATGCCTTTTGGTTAAACTTTCAGCAAGGAATTTGCATTTGCACTGTTACATTTTTATAAAGCTTTAATGTACATAAAAACCAGCTTCTTGTTTAAGTGAAAATAAATGAAGGTTGTCTTTTTGCGCTAGTAATGTTGTGGAGTTGTATTTTGTCTCGCATCAATTATATCGTCAGTTATATCGTTATCGCAAATTTTCAAATATATATCGTGATAAATATTTTTGGCCATATCGCCCTGCTCTACCTCAGAGGTTACTTTTACTCAGAATAATTCAACTTGTGAACAGATGAATAGCAAACGTAAATAAAAATGTTAAACTATACATAGACAGTATGTAGAGAAACTGACAGCCACAATGTGTTTGCCCTGTGGAGATCTGCAGAGAGCTACAGTCAGTGACAGCGGAAGCTTTGAGAAGCACATAATTATAACGCTCAGTTACTTCTTTGTATCTGTAATGATGTGCTGTTGTTTTAGCTTAGCCAGAGAAGTGAGCTGACCGGTTATCACACTGGATGTGCATCTACTAATGAACTGCTCTTATTCAGCAGTGTGCTCCAACAGTTTCTGCTGCAGCGTAAAAAAGACGCTCTGTTATGATTTAAAGAAAGTCAGGCAACTTAGTAGAGCTCCCATTTTTGTGGTCTAAAGTTGTGTCCTACAAAATTACTGTTTACTGATAAATCTGTTTTGCTCTCAAGCCTCATCTAGTGATGCCAATGACTAGGCAATCAGTGACATGCAGTCCTCTGATGTCACATTTTTGGATCGTCTCAGACTGCTTGCAACCCCAGCTGAGTAGGTACTTAAAATACAAAGTACCTGGTACTAGCACCTAATGGAACATGCTACAAGCTGAGTCTAGAAGCCTATCTACGCAGAAGTTAACTGTGTAGTAGTTCAGTCTCTCTCCACAGCCTCCATTTGTGCTGCACAGTTCTCATACTGTCCACTTTTGTAACAGTTCAGATTCCATAAAGGCAGCATCTCACCCAAGATAGCAAACCAACCAGTAGGACTAGCAAGACTCGACAAGATTGGACAAGTCAAGCTAAAACTTCATTCCAGCGTGGCATTTCTACAGACAAACCAACACGCTGATCAAACACAATTATGTGTGTTCGTGTTTGTTTGGTTGAGGATAAAGTAAGTGTCCCTTTAGATACAGTTCAAAGCTTAATGCTGAATCCATTCAGCTAGGAAGATACAAATTACTATGACGATTAATGTGGTAGTATTTATAATGAATTAAAAAGTGTCTGTGGGTGGCCCCGGCCTTTGGTACTGCTCCAAATGCTACATAATTCTGTGGGAAACACTGCATTACAGATGTAACCAGTGGTGACAAGATGGGAAAAAATACAGCAAGGCCCGGGTTTAGTCCCTGCCAAACACACTCACATCTACTGAGGCCAAGACTGCGCTCAAAAAGTAAGATCATTTAATGGACCTTTGTCAAGCAAATCAAAGCTTTGCTTGCTGGCACGTATCACGTCTACATACGAGCTTACATTTCCACGTCGGCACTTGTGTGAAAAAGCATCACATCTATAGTTCATATAGAAGAAAACTCAACTCAAGCATAACGTAGGGCTGATTCATCGAGTACTTGGAATAACTCGATTATAAAAATTCATTGTTTCACTGCATCACTCTATAGCGCTAACCATAGCAGACCTGCAATAATGAAAGTATGGATAAAGAGCCCACCAGTTTCTCAACAGGAAGACTGAAAAATCAACAACAGCAGTGATGATGAGAGTTTAATGTGGAACCAGGTCCTCCTACACTCCGGAGAGCAAATGCTTTAGAAAAATATAAGAATAAAGGCTTTTTTTTCTTTCTACAGGCCAATGAAATGTACATGGGCTCTGAGCCACTGACCTGGGGCTGTTAGGTTGGACACTGAATTATTATTAACATCTACAGCATTACAACATCCGTTTTCAGCAGCACAGGCTGACAACTCTCTCATTAAACATGCAGACACGCTGCTGTCAGGGCTGTTTGCCTCCGATTATTATCTCCAATAATCTATTTACTTTTGCATTTGGAAAGTGGATGCTGTAAAATATTAAATGTTTCTTTGACAGATGTTGGATGCAGTGAAATTTTAAAACACTGAAATTTCCAAAACACAAAACAATGAGCAGATCAGTTTTGAAATGCCTGTTTTTCCACTTTGGAACATTTACCGTTGCTCATTAATAAGGCAGCAGTCGATTAAAAACTCGATTGCTGAACTAATAACACCACAATAGATGCAGTTTTCTTTATTAAATGAAATAATAAAGAAAACAATTAGAAATAACAGAGGATTTGTGATATTTAAAGTAGGGCCCACTGCCACTGGTGTACTTTGACCGATCAAGTTTACTGTGGGTTCAATGATCAATGGCGTGTTCTGACACAAAGCAATGCGTCTTACAAGAAGACGGGATCGTTAACTTCATATTGTATGATGTTACATGGCTTCTATAATATCCCGACTTAAGTTATATCCTGTCCTGTCCGCGGATCCTTTGCTTAATTCTTCGAATAAAATAACATCTGAATGGAATCTGACTCAAGTGTTTACGTTAGGACAACAGATAAAGCTCAAAAACAAAGTTAAACCTGACGGCAGGCTAAGCCGACACGGTGAAACCGCTCCCAGATCTTGACAACTCGGCCCTGTTTGCCACAATGTTAGCATGAAATCTGAAAAAGGCGGCTACGGCTAGCTCAACAAACGCCGCTCGGCCGCTTTACCCGGTGCCGCTGGCTGTGCAGTGGTGCCTGCCTTCCACCCTGGACAGGCGGAGGAATATGCTGTCTTCTCCGGTTTTCCGTTGGTAGCTCTTCTAACTCACGTCGATGAGAAACATGCCGGTCATTAACAGGAGGCGTCACAGCAGACATAGTCCTGCTAGTACAGTGACAGGAACTTTTAGGAGTAAACACATGCTGGGGAAGCGACTCAGAGCGCGTTCTCGATCTCGGGAGCCAGCAGATTTTTTTAAGCGTCTAAACTTCATCGACCCTGTGACAAGGCGCCACCTACAGGGCAGGAAAGTAATGGCAGCGTTGTTATCTCCCTTCACTTATGTGGAACACAGAGCCAGACAGTCGTGGAAATGCTCGGGAAATAGTATGGAAGCTTGTTTCTATGGAAACATGCTTCCTCCACTAAAAAGAACCACATTAAGGAAACAATTATTATCGGTCATTTTGAGAATAAAGCTGAAATACGTCGAAATATAGAGACGCAGTGGTTTCAAGGCTGCTATACCCTGTACAAACAGCCTCGTGTAGATGAGTCAGCGACACAAACTGATCAGCTGTCTTATCATGTCTTGTCCTCCATCCTCTTTACTGCACGATATCCTGTCCACTGGCAACATTTCATTTTGCACAAATCCATGTTTGTGTGTTTTTTCCCTTGTGACCAGATGCAACGCTCTGCACGGACTTTTTTCACCCCCTTATACCCATCACCACACTGTGTTTAAATCGTTTCCTTGAAACTAAAACTGACTCTGAGGTATGATTTCACTAACTCATCTACACAAGACATTTTGTACAGGGTATAGCAGCAGTTTGCCTTGAAACAACTGTAAGCTCCACATTTTAAAAAAATAGTATTTCCACTTTTTTCCTTGAATTTCTGGAATAGAATTTCAGCTTTATTCTCAAAATGATCAGTAATATTTTTTGTCTTAATGTGGCCTTAACCATCTTCATATATTTTTTTCCTGGTAGTGTGCCAAAAATTTGTGTTCCTATTACGAACATTTTGGGTAGATAAGCACACATTAGTTAATTCATACAATTTTACAGTTGGGAGTCATGTTTAAGTGCAGTTTCAGTAAATCTCCAAATGTCTGCTTGGAAATAGGCCCATCAATTTTCTTCTGCTTATCCATTTGATGTTGGGTGGGCTGAAGCTGCTGTCCCAGGGAAACAGATGGCACACGCCCTGTCTATTACAGGGCTAACACACCAATTAACTTAATCACAGTCTTTGGATGTGACGGAAGCCGGAGTGCCCGGAGAGAACCTGTGAAAGCCCCAAACAGAACATTTTTGCTGTGAGGCAACAGTTGCTAACCACCACATCACCACGTTTTTCATGACTTTGTTTTTTTTAAAAATTTAAACAAAACCTTTTTATTTTATGTAATGATTTCATAATCAGACTTCCTCAGGTATGTGATCACTCGCGTTCATTTAGTTTATCAGCATGATTAAACTAAATCTGAGTCTAAAGTAGAACCCATTAAATACCGGTGTGGATGTGCATCATTTTGCATCACCTTCAGAGAGGAGCCCTGTGCTTGTATGTGGTGTCTCAGTGTGCTTCTGCTGAGTTATGTGACATGCTTTGTATGTTGCTTTGTGCTACTTTGTAATGTAGCAGTACAGTTTTAAAGTTTTGAGGTGATGTGCATTTATGGGACAGTAAAACAAGTAAAAATGGTGTTTCCGTTAATTCACTGATACAATAAAGTGCTGTCACGGGTGTCATTTTCCGTGTAATTGGTAATGTTATTTTGATTTAATTAACATGTCTGCACTAGTATTACCTTGCTTATAATGATATGGACTCAACCAGTTAACCTAACATTAGACTGTGGGAGGAAACTCCAAAGGCTCCAGCTGATGTTGACCGTCCTGTGCTAACCACAATACTTCAGTGCCCCTTCACTCCTCTTCCTCTCAACCACCTCCATCCCCAGCATGGTGTGTGTGAAAACATTAGCAGGACTGTTTAATGCTTATGCTGCGATGTGATGTACAAAACTATTAGGAGGCGGTGCACAGGCGGACCCCCCACAAGGTTCAAAAAGCCTTAGGCTGGCCCCGATGTTTTAATGTGTTATTCTGATTGAAGTGTGGGATTACATGTCACTCGTAAGCAGCGTAATCCCAGCTAATCTGGGATTCCTTTTCACTCTGCACCTTGGAAACAACATCAGAGAGATAGGGCTACTAACATGGATATACAAAAGGCCGTCTTTTTGTAAGGTTAATTTGACAAAGGATGCATCTGCTGGTACTTTTTCACATTTTGCAGTCGCTTCTGTTAGCGGCCCATTCCTGTCCATCCTTATGTTCCTGCCATGATGGGAAAAGTGGAATAGCAGAACTCAGGTTAAGTGAGGCTCAGATTTCATTTCTGTGTTTCTATGTGTATGTAATCTGTTTCTCAATGATCACTGCTCATTTTGTTAGTATGTGGCATCACATTGCAGTACTCTTGTGACAACCGAGTATCAGTAGTGCCAATAGTATAAGTGCTGAACAACAGTGCTGTTTTATAACATTAGATACTGCCAGTGTTGGGAAGGTTACTTTTAAAATGTAATCTATTACAGATTACAGATTACATGCCCCAAAATGTATTTTGTAACGTATTCCGTAACGGGTATGGCAGTCCAGTCTCCCTGCAGCACGGACTACACTGCTCATCAGGCTACATGCTTTAGGGCGATGCCTGTAACACTCTGCCTATTGCCTTCATATTAAATCATTTTGTGAATAATTTTTTTAAATATTTCTTTACGTCATTATGAAGGCTGCAAGTAGAGGTGACATGGGCTGCGAGATTGAAACACAGACATGAGAGCCTCTTAATGCGTGTTTTGTTTGGGTTTCCACCAGCATGGAAACCAAAAATATGGAGTTCATATCCTTATGAAACAGGAAAAGACCGCCGTGTAATCCATTCATTTCAACAAAGTAACTGCATTCTAAATACCACCTTTTTAAACGGTAACTGTAACGGAATACAGTTACTCATATCTTGTATTTTAAATATGTAACGGCGGTACATGTATTCCATTACTCTCCAACACTGCTCATGCCTGATGTGAAAACAAAAACGCAGCACAAACAGAAAGAGAATCATGACATCTAGAAAAGACTGAGAAGTTCACACCAGGGGACAAGGTGTTCATCAGAAACTACTCCTATGGTCCGAAGTGGATTCCAGCAGTCACTGTGAGATCATCGACTGGCCTTGATGATCTCTCCCTCGATGGTCTTACATCGTTGCAATCGAATCGGGTCAAACTGTGAAGCAACGTGTGGATCAGGCGAGAGCAAGAGTTGCAGACACTGTTCCTAGTGCACCGGACAGGGAGGTGGAGCCATTACATGACATGGAAGCCATTCCTGAGTGCTGCTTGCCATCAGGGGTGGGCACCACACCACAACCATCATCGGAGCCCCAGGAGCTACCATATGCTCCGGAGACTCCTCAGTGGCACCAGTGTTGCAACGTTCCCAGAGAGAGAGACGTCCACCAGAGACTCTAATGGACTTTGTTAGATAGAATGAGATCTTCCAGGAATAGAGCAAACAATGCAGTCTGATCTCAGAGGAAGGACGTATCTTCCTAGTTAGCATTAAAAAAAGAAACATATGTACAGTTGTATGGTTACCATAGTTATGTGTTAATTCCTTGTTAAGCATTTTTCAGTACAAGCATTTGTTTGTAGACAAGTAGGAGTCGTTGACTTAAGGGGGGAGGAGATGTGATATTGTAACGAAGCATTTGCTTATATAAATATATGTATACGTGTATGGGTATGCATAACAGTTATTATTTCCAGGTACAGGCATTGTTAGTTCATGTTTATTGCTCTGGAAAAGCACACGGAGTGGGATGGGTGTGAGAAAGGGCATTTTGTGTTGTTATACCAGCAAGGCCAGGAGAGGTGGTATTGGTGCTGTGTTAAGTAAATGTCATGTAAGAAGACAGAAGAGCGTCATGTACATGATGAACATGGCGCCTGTGTTCGGCTTGGCTGCTGTTCGTGCTCCGTGTTTTTGTCGACTGCTTCAGTATATTGTTTTTTATCTTGTCATCTCATCTGTGATATATCATGAAAGTCTTGACTTTTAAAGCTTTGAATTGTGACGCCCCTGCTTACATTTCTGATCTTTTAGAACCCCACGCTCCCTCTCGCAGCCTGAGATCTTCTAATCAAAGGCTGTTGGTAGTCCCTCGAACATATTTTAAAACCAGAGGTGATAGATCTTTTAGAGCGGTGGCCCCCAGGTTGTGGAATGCTCTCCCATCATTACGTTGCCTTGATTGTATTTATTCTTTTAAAAAGCAGCTTAAGACTCATTTATTTAGATTGGCTTTTAATTAGATTTGTGCTGTGTGTTTTATTATTAATGTATTTTATGTATTTCTGTGAGGCACTTTGTGGTTTTTATCCTGTGAAAAGTGCTGTATAAATAAATTGATTTGATTTGATGTAGGAAGTAGACGGACACTGTGATGTTGTGAACATGTGACTACAAAAGGTTCAGTAAACGAGAAGCAAGTATGTTCCCCGTGTGTGGCTCAGTGATTCCATTTTTGTTTGGTGAAGATGCAACACCCACAGAAAGCCTTCTTCACCTGCACAAATAGATGTCATTGGTTAAGGCAGACCTTCCCAAAGTGTGGGGTCCGCCCCCTAGGGGGGTTGCAGAGCCACTGCAGGGGGGGCGCGGTATGAAAAGGGGAAATAAAATGCTTGGACACTGCTAGCACGGGGCGCCTACAGAAACGCAAAGCAGGAGATGAAGCATCGCTGAATATGTTTCCAAACCAACTTCATTCAAAGCCAAAGACTTTTATTGGAGTCCAAGTTGTTCAAGTCCAATGAACAGCTTGAAATGGCACAAAGGTAAGTGGTGAACTGCCAGAGGTTAAAAAAAGCTAAGGTTACCCCAAACTGAAATGGGGTAACCTTGGTGAGAAAAAGGCAATTAACAATGGAAGAGAGACGGACCATCATAACTCTTATAAATGTAGGTCTGTCCTACAGAGAGACTGCACAGAAAGTCAAGGTGTCAGTGAGTCCAGTTTCCTTCTGCACTATGAAACAAACTGTGACAGGAAGAGTCTGACAGACCCAGAGACACGACTGAATCAGGTCATGTGATGGCGGCTCACAGGACAACAGCTTCAAGCAGCTTAACAGTGCTCGTAGTAAGAAAGTCTGTTTCAGCTGTGAAGAGAAGACTTCAAGCTGCAGGGTTGACAGGATGAGTTGCAGCGAGAAAGCCAGGCAAGACAAAGAGGCTTGCCTGTACCATGCAACACCAACACTGGACTGATGAAGACTGGAAGAAGGTATTA